CTCCAGCCGCTGACCCCCACACCCAACCGGACAGCCCCAAGGAGGGGCTCACTCTGGGGTGTGGGGGGCTGACCCAGCCCCTGGCACCGCTTTGGAGCCCAAATCTGCAGGGAAACCAGCTGGGAAAGAGATCCCCTGTGGGATGTGGGGGCAATGGGCTCGGGGTTTGGGTTGTGCGGATGCTTTTCACAGCCACAGGAGCAGAGGGGATGAGATTCACGAGATCTATGAGAACCACAGGACCTGGTCTCTATTTTTTGGAAGGGGGTGGGTGTTTCTGAAGGTCCCTGAAGCTCCTGCCTGTGCTGGAGTGGGAGGGACAGGGCACGAGGGTGGCTGAGAAAACATCCCCTAACCCCACTCTCAAGTGAGTGCGAAAAACAGGGGCATTTGCACCCACGTTCCTCGTTCCCTAAGAGCAAAACCCTGCCGGGGATCCAAAAGAGCGATTGAGGGAATGAGCTGGACCAGAGACACTCCTATGAACAGCAAGAAGTGGTCCAAAGATGAAACCCCAGGTCCCCACGGCTCCGTACCCCGTTCTGTGAAGGCCTGGTCTCCCCTGTCCTGAATTCGGCTGAAGAGCTCCCCACCGTCCAGGCTGGAAGAGAAGCAGACGGCGTTAGATGCTGTGGCACCTATCTCACGCCAGCGCGAGCGGTACCGAAACTTCTGATGCTCAGCCCGGAGCTGCACGAGCTCAGCAAGAAACAACCCCCTTCTCCATCCAAGCCCTTGGGTCGGTGCTTCTGGGCACGGGGCGTTTCAGAGCATCCTCCTTCCAGAAATGAGCAGGGCAGAGGCTTCGTGCCGGCGGCAGAGACGCCGGGTGCAGGCGGACGTGGTCTCCCCACCAGCCCACAGAAACACATTTACAGTAAAGACAGCAAACGTGGCTCAAATGTGGCGAGAGCGCTCCCGGCACGCTTGGCCTCGTTTAGCTCGCAAGCCAACCACCTCGCCAGCATCATGCTAACCCCGCGCAGAAGTGCTGAGCAAAGATGACGGCACGAGCGAGGTGTCAGCGGCGCCCGCGTGGGCTCACTGATGGGATGGGGGGGGGGCAGAGCCTGAGCCCCACTGCAGCAGAGCAAGCTCTCAGCAAGGTGCTGGAGAAGGACCTCGGAAACTTTGGTGTGGCTCCCTCCCCAGCCAAAGGCTCCCCCGGCACCCTAAGGAAAAACTCAGCTCCAAGAGAGATGAGGGGTGAGATCAGGGGTAATTCTCCACGAGAACAGGGATAACAGTGCTTCCCGTCCCTGCCTTATCTCACTGGAGCAGAAATGGCTTCTGGCTTTCCCAGCACAGATAGCATCTCCTGCCAGCGCCCTTGACATTAGCTGGACATCTGCAATACAGATAGAGCACAGCTGCCGGGGCCAACCGCCACACGGAGCGCACGAGGAGACACACCGTGCTCACGCCGAAAGTCAAACGCTGCCTTGCGACCAGCGTTACACCCACAGCATCCCGGGGACAGCGGGGAGCTATCGCAGAGACACGCTGCAGGGAGCTGCCGCTGCCCCGGGGGCCCGGTTTCCATCAGTTACTTC